GGGCCGGAGCTGGTCGTATCTCGAAAATTTCGTAAGTAGGGGCGTTCGTAAGTAGAGGTACCACTGTACATCCTTATGTTTGGTGAAAAAACAATGTCTAGTTCACAAAAATGTGCACCACAGGCCATGCATTGTATTTAAGTTGCCCCATGACCCTCAGTCACATTTCTATGCTCGTAAGCTGAGTGCTTCCACTCCAGCATTGGCTCGATAGCCAGCAAATCTATTGCATTAAATATCCGGCCGTGTTAGGACTTCTGAGCAATGTCTTTGAAGGCTGGCTCCTGCTTCTGCAGCACACGGCTCTCTCCATGTGGTGAGCATTTATAAATCTGGGGACAGGAGTCCAGGCAGCAAGACCTGATCCTTGCTCTCTCCATCGAGAGCGGCAGATGGACTTGCAATGAGCATCAGCCTGAATTGCCATGGTGGCATGTAGAAAACCATGCCGAGGCGGGTCAGGCTTTTTGCAAGCACTGCTGAGAAGTTTGCGCTCCGGCGAGAAGTCTTACCCCAAACCCACGGGCAGAGAAAGGAAGAGGCCAACTCCTGAGGATCTTCCAGCCTTGGGGCAAGGTGGAAAACCAGTCAAAAAGGAAGAGAGCAGAGGATTCTTCAGAATATTCTTAACTTTTATTCCCTTGAACATTACAAAATACACTTTGCAAGGTAAGTCTCAAAAAACAATCTGTCATGCTTTGTTAAAAAATTGAAATTCAAAAAGAGAAATAAACACACTTAGCTTATTAGCTATGTTTCCCCAGTATTTATTTATTTCCCCAGGAGTTTGGAGGGCACAAATCCCAGTTATATGTTACTTCAATCAGCGTGAAATGTCAGGTGCAGACGACTTCATTTGCCCCCAGTATCAGCTTCTGGTGTCTCATTGGGCTGTGACGGCAGGTGTGTCAAGAGTGGGTGTCAGCTGCCTGGGCCAAGCCTCTCGGCAGGGCTGCCCTGATTGTTAGCAGGCCAGGGAACAGATGCCCAGCCCAGCCGCCTCTCCAAAAAAGGCATCCTGAGGCTGGAGCCCGGTGCTGGCTGGCTGAGCACAGCTGGCCACAGAGCTTCTGGCCATGGCTTGGCTCCCGTTTACAAGGACGAAGCCCCACTTCAGAACTGACAACGCTGGGGCTGGGGGCATGGGGGAGAGCCCGTACATTCTTACTATTTGATATAATTGTTTGAAATCCGGGGACGCTTCTTTCCCACAGAGACCCATGATTTTCTCGTTTTACGGAAACAGTGGTCCAGAATGTTCAGTGCATTTCTCCTCTTTTACCTCTTATTTTGGCCAAGTAACCAAGACAGGAGGTTCCATATAACTGGGAAGGTCTATGGCTTGCAAGAAATCGGAAAGCGTAATTATAAGAAAAGGAATAAAGGTTATATTCTGCAAAAGATCCCTAATGAAGCACAATTATGAAAGAAGCAGATGTTGCTGGGAGAGAAGAGCACCAATGTGACGGTCGGAGAATTTCGGTTCCACAGCTAGTTGCGAGAGGGGAAGCGCATGGCCCAGGTTATGACCCCCTCGTGTAACTAAGGAGCTTCTAGCGTTACACACTCGGGCTTCTGGTTATGGGTGCTCCTAGGAGAAGGCCAGTACCTACCAGCCGGTTAGAAAAGTGGCCCAGGCTGGCTTTTCCTGCTCAAAGGGTGAAAGGAAGAGCCCCTTCCCTGGGTCCCTCAGTGCTCTCCGTAGGGTGACTGGGGTCTGGACAAGGGCCTCTGTCAACCGGGTGGCTCAGTGCTCTCTTCCCCCCGGGAAGATCCTGGCTCTAAGCGCCCTGGCCCAGGCAGACAGGGAGGTTGGCCTATGTACAGCTGCTGCTGCTTGTGCTCTCGTCCTCTGCCTCCAGTGCCGTGGCAGAAGGAAGCTGGCCTTCCCGGGCAGAGTCCTGGCCACACGCAGCTGCTCCGCTCGCTTCCTTCTCCCCCTCCCCCCCCCCCCCCGGGCAGGCAGCGCCCCCCGGCCCCAGCTGCCCCCACCCACCCCCCCCCCCCCCTTCCCTCCCCCCCCCCCCCCGGGCAGGCAGCGCCCCCCGGCCCCAGCTGCCCCCACCCACCCCCCCCCCCCCCTTCCCTCCCCCCCCCCCCCCGGGCAGGCAGCGCCCCCCGGCCCCAGCTGCCCCCACCCACCCCCCCCCCCCCCTTCCCTCCCCCCCCCCCCCCCCCCCCGTGGCAGCACAGGCCGCCTGGCCAGGCCAGGCCCCACGCACCTTCTCCGGAGCAGGCAGCTCGCTCCCCACCAGCCCCTGGTCTGGTGATCCGGAGGAGCCCAGGTGCTACAGAGACGAGAGCAGGAAGGAAGACCTGTGGCCGGCGGGGCAGAAGGGCCTCTCCTCCTCCGTCCTCGGGACACGCCCTGCTTCATTGGCACAAGGGGAGGGGCAGTCAGGCGGAGTTAAAGGAGGAGGTCTGGCGCAGGGGGGCCACCTTGTGGGTTAAAGCCTGGTAGTTAGAGGAGGAAGAGCATCTGGTAAAGGTAGCTGTTCTCTTTCTCTGCATTTAGAACTTTGTGCCTCTTCCCATCAGCTTGAGGACTGCAAAGTTGTAGGTGGCAGCGATGATGAAAGTGAGCTGGAGGGCAGAGAATGGAAAGTTGGCAGTGAGATCAAAGTGCCCCGTGAAGTACCGCCCCGCTTCTCCCAGGCCCCCATCGTGGCCCCGAACCCTTCACAGGGGGATTCCTTCTCTTGGGGCCTCCCCATCCCTTGCCTGAGGTCTCCAGTCGTGCCTGGCAGAAGGCCGAAGCACAGCCAAAGCGGCTACTTTAAAGTCAAGTAGGGGCTAATTTCAGCGTTGCTCTATTTGCAGTTGAAAATGCTGCCGTTCATTCTGAGTGTTTGGGCTGAAGGCGATAACGGCGACGCTTCTGTCCCCTCCCCCGGAAACTCTCTCCTGCTGCTGCTGCCCAGGAGCCGAGGAGGAAGGGTCCAGGAGGCAAACCAGGCCTTTGCGTGCTTACCAGGGCCACGAGGGTAACTGCGGCACCCACAAACGCCGCGATGAAGAGGTGGAAGGTCATCTGGAACTGCAAGCAAACAACACATGGCGGTCTGAGCCCGGACCCACCGAGGCACTGGATGGGCCCCCTTGGAGCGGGAGGGCCACTGGCCGAGCCCAGAGGCTGGAGGCCTGGCCGGGGTCACCTGGGGAAGCCGGGCTGGTTTGACCAAATGAGCCAGCGCCTTCGTCCATGCGATCAACCAAATGCTGGGCCAGGAGGGGCCTTCGCTGACCCAGCAAGGCTGGTCTTACAGACCCTTGTATGTGGCATTTTTTCCTTAGACAAAAGGATCCGTCGCACTGAACATTCAGAGTTGCAGAGGGATCTCCTTTTATCTCCCACATGCAAAAGTGAGTGAGCATCACCCCCAAAATAATGCCAAGATGGTACCTTAAATCAATTTTGTGCAGCCATATAAATAAAATATCTATTGTCTTCACAATGATGGTTTTTACTAAAACGCCAGTAGCTGACTGAGCTACTAAAATGTGTTGGATGGCCAACCTGGATTTTTGACAATCTGCTGATAGTCTTGAACATGATGCATTATCCACAACCAGCAGATTGCCAATTATGGAATTACAAGTTGGAAAAAACAAATTATTGAGTTGCTTAGTGAATAAACAAGTTATTGAGTTATCAAAGAATGGTTCAAGGAGGGGAAAATGAACAACTTGGAGGCCCCAGTGAATCCTTCTAACGTGGGAATGGTCAGTGACTAACCCTTTGACAGAAGGAAGTGCACAGAGTCGTCTCATACAGTTTTCCAACAGAAACACATCAGTCCATGGATACCGTTGGCCTCTACTCCCTCCCAGCTGTCAGCTACTGCGTCAAAATCAACTTTCTTCCTTAAGGAACCTCCTCCCCGTGTCTTTTGGTTTGCTGGGAACATCTAGCCCATCCTCTGCTCCTCTGTGAAGCAGAAGAAGCTCACCTCAGCAGTCTTGCAGATGGAGAGGAGACTTTGGCCGCAGACTCTTCCCGGAGACGCGTTCCAGGGCAGCACACCTGGGTGGGTGGAGCACAAGAGGTCCTGAGCACAGGCCAATCCACCCCCTGTGGGTCTACATGGTCAGGGAAACCCTGGCAAGAGCCCCCTGACTGCTTTTCACTAAAACGTGCTCCTCCTCTGGCTCAAGAAGCCAGGAGGCCTAACCATGCCCAAGTTCACACAACTCACTAAACCATACAATGGTTTGATTTTGGCTTAGGATGTTCTGTGAAGCTAGCCAGTTGCAGTTAAGCAAACCCAGGCTGTGCGTGACATGAAAATAACCATTCCAGCCTCCTGAAGGCAACTTTCTGCCCATTCCCCAGGAAGGACGCATAGTGTGAGCAACCTTCCTGCGTGCCTGTGACAGGGAGGGCTTCTGGGTTTCCAGGTCAGACTCAGGTGGGCAGCTACCCACCAGCCACGCCCCAGAGCCCAGAGAACTGCCCAGGCCTGCATAGCCTGCAGATGGTTGGACATCAAGGAGGGGAGCTGTGTCTCCTGCAGTGGACTGAACAGGGCCGTTCTGCCCTGGCGCCTTCTGAGATGTCTCCTGTTTCTTAGGAAGAAAGTTGCTTTTGCTACTCACCATACATCCTGGCATCAGCGCACAGGTTGCCAATACTTGCAGAGGTCTTGGTGGGGTTGGCAATGGAGTTGCAGGTGGTCCAGGTGCTGAAGTAGACATAGACAGGGACGGCAGAGCAAGCCAAGACCAGAAGCCAAAGGACGGCCAAGACGTAAGTGATGCCCACAAACTGAAACAGTCAGAATGGGAGGGGGCCGTTAGGGGCCAGCTTGGAGCCTTGGCCAGAAGAGCATGAGACTGGAGATCTGCAGCCTGAGACGACTTCCCAGACCTCTTTCAACCGGGGAGGGAAGGAGAGACCCCCTCCAGCACCAATGGAACTGTCGGGGAGGGGTGTGGGATTGCAGCCCACCTGTGCACAGCTCTTGCACACATGTCCCACCCAGGGCCTCTCAGCACAATTGGCCAATAGGATGCAGAGTTCTCCATCAATTTGCAGGCTCTGTAATCTCCCCTCAAAAGGCTGACGGTCTGCTGTGCCATAGCAGTTCACGGTCTGGGTGTCACTGGGTGTCACTTACAATCTGATTTGTGACCTAACCTCAGGCAATTTAGAAAGTTGTGTGTATCAAATGCAGAGATGCTCCCTTACTCATGCCCTTTTAAAAATAGGGAGTGCCAGCAGATGTCTCTTCTCTCCCCTCACCCCTGCCACCTGCACTTTCCTTTCCAGCTGTGCTTTACACCGAACTGGGCTGCAGTTCACAAAGACTTTCACCCTTCACAGCTGAACCTTCAGACACAGTGTGCACCTTCACAGACTTTTTACACGGAAGAAAACAGCTCTCTGCCCAGCTTGCAAAGTGCCAACCTCCTGCCCCCAGATTCTTTTGAATATACTATTGTTGCGTTGAGGTCCAAGCTGCGTACTTGGTTGTGCAGAGAGGCCCCCCCAGGTGCCAGCCAAGGTTTCCGGCTGGGACAGATGCTCAAAACAAGGCACGCTCGGTATGCACGTGCATATCAGGTGTCTGCTTATAGCACCCGGGGAGCCAGCCTTCCCATGCTTGCGCTGGGTGCGCTCCGGGCTGGCGTGACAACAGGGTCTGTGAGCTTGGGTGGAACGTGTGTGAGTGCAAGAAGGCATATTGTGCGTGCCTGAGGGCGAGCATCTGCCCAAGAGGTGCAGAAGGAAGTGATTCTGAAAGAAAACAGCACTTGGTCTGCTCATGTCCTTGTCTGAGCCTGTGGGGAAGCTGCTGGGTGGTCTTCGGGTGCAAATGGGCACTTCTGAGACAATCCACCCCCTGCTTTGGTCAGCTCCGCTTGCTTAAGATCCAGCCCCGGGCCCCTCATCTGTTGGCAAGGGCCTCTCCATCAAGCCACAGCAGTCCCCCACCCCAGCCTGCTCAAGGTCCCCGTGCCCGGGAGGCTGTCCTTTGTGCCTTCCCCTGGCAAAGGGCTCGTGTGAGGCGCCTCAAGGGAGCAAGAGCTTCTGGCTGCATGCAGGTGCTTGAGCTCGCCCTGGGTTTTCAGCTGATCACGTATCGCTCAGAAGTGCCCATCTGAGGCCTTCCCCATTGCTCAATCCGTCCTTGGTCAACCCCGTATCCTCTGCCCTCCCATCTTTCAGGAACCCCGCCTGGGATACCGAGGAGCCCCAGCTGGAGCGCTTCATGGCGGGCACCCCCCAGCCTGACCACCAGCCTTGGAAACGCTGGGCTGGCAAAGGACGGGCACATCACCAGGAAGACGTGGCTCTCGTCCTCCAGGTCTTCCTTGCGAAAACCGGAAACACCAGGAGGAGGGAAGGAAGCCCTGTGAGGGGTGGAGGCGAGGCGAGGCGAGGCGAGGTGAGCGAGCGGGTTAGGGTGGGACAGCTGGGGAGGGAGTTAGGAGGGGCATGCATTCGCCTGGCTGCGAGGGGGGGCGGCCGTCCTGTGCGGTTTTCTCTCTAAGGCGACACTGCCCGTCCAGTGCAGCTGCTCCGCCCTGTGCCTGGAGCCTTCTCAGGATCAGCCACTGGGCGACCAGGCCTGCAGTCTCATGCCTGTCTGCCCATGCCTGGACCAGCCACATGCCCGAAGGAGAAGCGAGCTGCGCGTAGATCACCTTGTCAGGATGTCCCAGCCACTTGCCCAGACAGTGACACACCAGGTCCCAAGAGTGAGCCTGACGGTGTCCTCTGGAACCCCTCCCCTTGTGGCCCCCTGTTACCGTAGCGCTGAGGCCCTTGCCACAGATGGTGGTCTTGTAGTCGCCAAAGATCTGCCTGACAGCGCCGGTGGTGTAAAAGCCTTCGGCCAGGAGGAGGGCTCCGAAGAGGAAGAAGAACCCAGCAACTCCGTAAATGGCATACTGGAAATCGTGGATCCTGGGGAGGAAGGCCAAGTTCAGAAGCGGGGAGGAGGCCTCGCCGGGAGCCTGTTAGCCAAGGGCTTGGTCTTGCCTGGCCCTTGGGAGGGAGGAGGGCTGCAGGTGAAGCACCACTTGCTTTCGCCCAAAGGCAAGCCCTGCCACGGGGGCAGCCGCCACCAAGCCTTGTTCTGCAGACAGGAGACCCCCGCCAGACTTAGCTCTGGGCCACGGGGCCCGGCCTGCCTTGCCGCCCCAGGCCAGGCTGGCTGCTGCCCTCCTCACGCAGCTCGGTCGAGGACTGCCTTGCTGGGTGGGCCCAGGCTGCTCTAGAGACCTTGAGCAGAGGCTTCAGTGCCCGCTCTCCCCCATACCGGTCCAGCATCAGTGAGCAAAGCCCGCCCGTTTCTTTGGTTGGTCCCAATTGCCCGCCTGTTGCCCTAGCCTCGGTAGAGCAGCTGGACAGGGTTTTCCTCCTGGGTCCGTCTACCAATTACACGCCGGATTGCCCACATTCCCAGCAGCTTTTGAGGACATGGATGCAGGGTGAGATGCCCAGCCTCCCCAAGGGGATGGCTGTGCCCAGGGAAAGCAGCGTTGTGCTGCAGCTTTCAGAATGAAAGTCTGCGCAGCTGCAGTTCCGATGCTGGGAGGGAGAGCAAGTGACGCGCTGGCGCTCAAGCTGCAGGTGTCTGCAGCCACGCAGCGGCCGTCGCGCCCGGGCACGAGACTCTGTCTCCACCCACTCTCGAAGGTGGCCAGCACGAGGTGAGTTTTTGCAAAGGGGAGGGGAAGGGGAGCTCCCTATGAGAGCTGGGCTGTAGCCATGCCTGCGGGAGACCGGTACTATGGGGTTAAGTTTCAAAATAACAAATAGGAGTTGAAATTGATGAAAAAATAGTATTAAACCCAGGCATTCCTATTGAAGTTACTTTTTAACATTGTGTGTGTGTGTGTGTGCGTGTGTGTATGTGTATGTGTACAATTATATTTTCAGTTGAATAAACTTACATAATCTCTCATTTCTAAACATAATTTTTTGAAGATGACTCCCCACCCCATCACCCTGGCCCCGACCCTGGACTTCCTTCTCGGAGGACGTCATGACCGGAGCATCTGCTTTGCTGGCTGCACGAGCAGAAGCTTCTGAGGGAAAAGCAAATGCAGGCATCTGCAGGAGGGTCCGGCTTGTCCAGAAAACTGAGCCGCGAGCGATAGTACTTACACATCCACCAGGTACTCGTAGTCCTGGTAGTTTTTGGAGAAGTAGGTCTCAATCAGGTGCTCAGTGCCCGTGAGCGCTTCATGGCCACAGCCACAAAACAGGGCAACTCCCAAGAAACATAAGCCTGTGGCTACCAGGGAGGCAAAGGGGGCTCCCACGAGACATCTGGCACAGCACTCCAATAGACCTGTGCAGAGCGGGGGGGGGGGGAAAGGGTTTCCATTAGCAGCAGCAGCTGGTGAAATGTTCTGCCCCATGCAGAGAAGAGGGCTTTCAGAGGCTGCATCAGGTCAAGGAGCTGAGGCTGGGCGCGAATCTGTGGGCAACCTAAACCAATCCTAGAACAATTTGAAAACTAGCACTGGGCAGGGGGCTGGTCAGGCGGAGCAGCCTCTGCTGCCACAGAAACTGCCCAGTTCCAAAAAAAGTGCCTCTTTTTAGGTTTGCATCTGCTTTTCTCCCAAGGGAAAAAATTGTTGTCAGCCTCTTTTTCTCCAAAGAGGCTGACAACAGTTTTTCAAAAAAGCCAACGATAACATCAGTCGAGGGATATAATTATCAAAAGGTTAACCATAGACACCCACTGAAAACCACATTATCCCATTCACGTACTTGTTTCCTGGCCACTGTCTTTTCGTGCAGGTGGGGGGCCAAAAGGAGGCCGCCAACCTCCCTCAGAAATGAGCCACAGACTTTAGGAGCAGAGTCCTGGGGGGGGCACCTCTACTTGCACCATTTTGGCAGGGGGACCCTCCTCTTCCGGGACATGCATCGGGGCAGAAGACTGCTGATTATGCGGGGGAAATATGCATCTCTGGTCTAAATTAAATGAAACTAAGATTTCTAGCTTGCGTCGATCCTGACACAGACACTTTCAGATAATTTTCTTCTCTTTTTGTCCGGTGTCAGGCACATGTTTTTCTTTTTCTCTGCCTCTACCGATCTTAAAAGTTACCGGTTTATTGCTTGCTGAAAAAGGACGACCCGTCAAGCGCAGTTCTGCTCCAGGAACAACGGCCTCCGCCACCATCCACACTGCTCCCAGAGCAAAAGCCTCCTTCCCAAGGAAGCTTAGTGAAGGCGGAGCACCAAACTTCGCGGGGTCGGGGGAGAGGGGCAAAGTCTCTGGCTGTGAAGTATAGGTAGCAGGTTGCCTGATCTTCTGGCAAGATTTAAATCAAGTAACGACACCCCCCCCCATCTTCTGCAAAGTGTTAAGCCCGAAGAGGAGGAATTTTGACTGCCCAGAATCCAGAAAGCCTGTAACGTCTGTTTCATTTTATTTGTTTATGCCTGTTTGATCGCCGCCTCAGCTTTGGGGGTCCATCACTCACACGGAGAGGTGGGGTAGCCCCCTTTGCCTTCCTGGCGGAGACCTCATGCAGAAGTCTTTCACGTCTTCAATCCCAAGCGGCGGCTTGGCTCTTGGGGGTGCTGGACTGATTAGCCTGCTCATTGGAACAGTTCTGGGATCTACCCAAGGTCACGGTCCTTTGCATTTCCTACGCGCTGGATCCGCTCTGCCCCTCCTTGGGCATCTTCACTGGGAGCAAACAGAAATACCTAATCATTGGTGATGGACAGAGACAAATGCCCAGATGGAGTTTCTCTCTGCCCTGGTCCTGGTCTCCCCAAGAGCTGTTCTCGGTCTGCTGATGCCAATTGAGAACTTGCTCAG